AATAATTTGAAGGAAAAAAGTTCTGAAATCTAATATATGTGATAATGGAGAAATAAAAGCTGTAATAGTGCACTTAAAATGTATTTTTTATTACTCTAGGTTCGTTTCTGACATAACTGGTTTTAGTGAGCCACTTGAATGATCTTGGTTGCTATGAAGTTTTAATAGCTAACACTTGGAAAGCCTCATAGTTTAAAGAAATGTCAACTTCAAAAATCATATTCCTGTCTTGAGTAACTATCCTGAATTTGATCTTTTTTTTTAATTTAAAGATGTGAAAGTATGTTAGGGGATAAGGTTGTGCAAGTTCCTGTAAAGCAGTGGCTTTTTTTCCTAGATGGGGCCTTAGTATTATCACAATTCTGACCATATAAAATATTTATAATCTTCTTCCCTTATAAAGCCATTGAGCTCTCACTTCAGAGCACTAACACTTTTCTTCAAGAACGGCTTGAGGTAAATCCACATATCTAATGGAAAAACAGCAACGACTGCTAACCCAGGCAGACCTTACTATGTGTCCTCCTGTGAGGAACAAGGAGGGGTTTATGGAAACCGAGAAGTTTGCATCTGAGCTTGTGGTTCAGAGTCCTCTGTCGTGAGACTGCGTTCCAAGTAAGGCCTGCCTTGCAGTCCCTGATAACCTTTTGGATTGCACTGAAGACAACAAGACTTAAGTGTCTGGACTTTACTCATTGTCATCCTGCATCAGTTTTCTCAACAGTGTAAAATTGGCATCAGACAGAGTACTGAAGATGGCTGTTCCCCACTATGATGTGTACACGAAAGCATTGCAAATAAGGAATGTCTAAATGAGTCAAAATAAGTAATTGTAAGAATAAAAAGAAAAGAGGTAAATAAATGCAACAGTGAGATACTCTGTTTGTTTGATTTATCTTCTTTCATGCGTCTTTTCTATAGTGTGGTTCCTCTCTTGCTTTGTTCTGCACGATGCTGATTGTAAGGGGAAAGTAAATACCCTAAGCCTGAATGCAGGATTGTTTGCATCCCCTCATAGGTTGGGAGTGCACATGTCGATTTTGAAATTCTCTCTTCTATGTAAAATCTTTTTTTTTGGGAAATAATAAGACGAGCCTTTCTAGAACAATGAGTAACAGGCATGTTTTAGGGGATCTGGTAGTTTGAATAAATTTTAATTGTTCATAAGAATGAGTGCTTGTTGTGTAACTAAAAGCTAACATCTCTAAATATTTCATAGACATTGTGTCTGTCTGTGTCTTAGACTTGTGACTGACGTCTTACATCTGCATGGGATGCTGCTCCAGGCCCAGGGAGATTACTTGGTGTAGAGAAGCTGATGTTTTCCACTGAATTTGTGATACTTGGTGTAGAGAAGCTGATGTTTTCCACTGAATTTGTGAGAAATGCAGGACAGCAGATAGCCCTGGGGGTTATCTTGGAGGCACATCCTACTTGCCTTGAATTAAGTCTGCCTGTGTGCATAAACCCAACTTCCTCAATAACTTCTTGAGTGCATTTTATGTGAAGTACTGGAAAAACAAACTTTGCTTAATGCTTTCAGTTTTGTTAGGCGTTAGGAATTGTTGAGATGCTATGGCCTTAAGCTTCTGTAGTAATGCAGGTAATATGGCAATACACTTCCAATACAGTTCTTTCTCAACGTGTTGTTCCAGCCAAAACAATGATCTATAAATTGGAAAGTGACTGTTGTCTTCTGACTTGCTTGGTGATGAAACTAAGTGGGAATTGTACGTTTGAAGCACAAGCCTTTGTAGCCTAGATATTGAACTCTTTGCCTTACAATTAAGAGAGAAATGAAACCTTTTGAGAACAGTATTGGCACCCTGCAGGGATATATGTCAGCTGCAAAAATTTTTACAGTCACGTTGCTTCACCAGAAAATGCCATTAAGTCTATCTTTTCCTTAATATTGCTTAATTTGAAAATAATGAGCCATGTGCATATAACAGTACTGCATTTTGGCCTGACTTTGATATGTATTAGCTGTGTTTCTATTACTTTTCCTGCTCTGTAACATACAGTGCATTACTTCTATTACCATGAAGTTACTTCTGCAGGCAAAAACGTTCAGATTGGGCTTGAGAGATTCTACCTATTACTCTTCCACTTGCTGAATTTTACAACCAACCATCTCATTAGTATATCCACTTCCAGTAATAAACAGCACATATCTGCAAGATATTAACAATATAAGTTCATTGCATACTCTAAAATTGGGTATCAGTGCTTCTGGTACTTGCTCCATTCTCTGAAAGCCCAAGTGTGACTCTTCAGAGGTTTCTTGAACAGTGCATGGTGTGTGAGGACATCACAGGGGTGATGCACACAAAATTGTCTTTTCACTTGTTGGCATTGCTAATCCATGCGTAAAAAATCTTACTGGCATTTAAAGCATGAGAAACAATATTGATATCTGAATAAACTGTTAGGCTGTTAATAATTTTTCAAATGTTAAGGATACAATTTAAAAAATATATTTTTAAGATACTAGATACCTGCAAGTGAAGGCATTTTTGTAGTTAGGGGTTTACCTGTTAGTAGTGCCTATAAGCAATGCTGGTGTAACAGTTAGACTTGGCATCAGGCAGCCAGTATAGCTAGATCTTCAGGGTTTTTTTTGGAGGTATTTGAGAATAGCTTGATATTTTTGACATCTGTGTGACAGCTTCTTGCATAAGAGATGAGCAGCGTGTTATACCACCCAGCTGCGTATATTAGTCTGTGCATCAAGCTGAGGAGCAGCACTTAGCCAGATCTGACAATCAGATGGGAACTAGTACTGCCTATACACAAGGGTGCATTTTAATGTGGTGTGCGTTTTGCCAACAGCCTGGTACTTGACAAAGAAATTGTCAGAATCTCTCTTCTTCCCACCTCTCTTTTTCCCCCAGTTGAGTCCATGTTGAAATGTAGGATTTCCTTCTGCAGTTTGTTTTACTTTGCATATAACAAAGGTGGTTTAATGTGTTTGGTGATTTCATGCAATAAAATTGTAGCAATCTTTTTTGGAACATGCAGTGTATTAGCACGTCATTTTCTGCCAGCTTAATCTAAATTTGCATTATGCTTGGTTTCACCGATGACTTCGTGTCAATATGTCATGTGTCCCCAGTGGAGACTAGAGACCTAGAGAAATTATAGCTTTCAAATTTTAGTGCTGCTATTGTCAGTGCTGGAAGAGTTGGTGAATAGCAGATTGTGAATGTGGAGATGAGTATATGAGAACTGCCTGCTCTAATTTTAGTTTGGCTGAAGTGATAGTTGTAAACCTCAAAATTTCTACACTTCTTGCTGGATTTAAGTCTGTTATTTGCCTTGATGCTTAAATTTGAAGGAATTGTGAAATTTCTGCCACAGAATACACTGTTTATTAATGCACTTCATAGGCTTGCTATAGGTCAGAAGCACATAATGTATAATATAAATACTACTTTCTCCCTTTTTTAGAGATAGGTTTTTTCCAATACTGACAATTCTATTTACACCTGTATATAGGACATATTAAACAGGTGTAATCCCAAAAGATTGATTATGATGAGGGAAATTTATGATGAAAAGTACAAAATACTGCAGTGACATCCAGGTGATGAAATAAGTAGCTGTTCCTGTATAATTTAGTTCTAGAAAAGTGTTTGTTATACCCCTGTTTTTAACCTATCCTGCTTTTTTCCTTTGTGTCACCACTTTATTGTTCTTTTAAAAGCTGTATTCCATTTCCGTCTGGTCTTCCTCATACAACATAAGTTTTGAGCGAGCTGCAACGTCACTTTTTTCTCCTGGTGATGTTTCTGTAGTTGAAAATATGAAAAATAAAAATGAGAATTGGAATCCTTTTGGTGTCTGAAACATTCAAGCACTATGGCAAACATAGTTTTATGACCTTGGAGTTGTATTTTTATTAGCAAGTTTTTGGTAATGATGGAAACTTGTAAAGAAACTGTCTTTGAAGGCTATAAAAAGAGGAAGAAATAAGGGGAAAATCATGTAAGTTTTCTAGGGCAGTACTTCCACTGTAACAATTTAACACTTTTGTTAACATCTATTTGTACCATGTCAATGTAGTGTCTGACCCTAGGTGGATAAATGTGAATGGACTTGTCATGGATTGGGATTGCTCCACTCCAAAAATCTGACAGCTCATTTCAAGCTTCTCTTGCACTTTCAAAGTCCTTAGCTGCATGCTTAACTCTATAATGCATACAAACATTTTAATTTTATTAGTAAAACATGGAAGAACAGTTTTTGGAAAACCAGGCTTTTTCTTAGCAATTTCTTTGCAGTAGTTATTAACTAAAGATTGGTGGAGACACTCCTTCCAAAACAGAGGTGAAAAGGGAGTTAAGAGAAAAAGGGGCAGAGAGAACCTCTTCAGTCAGCTGGTTCTTAGCTCACCTACAGCATCAAACCAGAGTTTTGGTTAATCTCCTGGGACAGCGGTTCTTGAATATGGCATTTAGAATATGTCAGGTTGTGGAGGCAAAAGTTTGCTGTAGGTGTTTCATTTGTCTTTTTTTTTCCCCATTCGTACAGCCATTTCAGGAATCACTTCAGAATGTGGCCAACATTTAGGCTCATTATTTTTAGTAAAGTATGCTATTATTCCATTCAGTGGAATATGAGCTTTGTACCTACCGGACCCACAAACTTAAACAGGAAAAAAAAAAAAAGCTAAAAAAAGAAAGGAAAATCAAGAGTCAAAGTAGGAATAGTTCTGAAGAAGATGAATTTTCATCTGTGTTATAAGGACTGATTACCTAGAGAATATAAGAGGAAAAAATACTGATGTGCTCTGAAACTACTTCACCTGAATTACTGTTAAGTGAAAAAGCTTCACTGATCTCACATCCATTTTTATTTATTTACATTTCCAGAATTGAAGGTAATAAGAGCAGTTACTGCATGTTTATCTTTTTAATACAACTGTTTTCATACTTAACTGTGTTTTTTATCTTGCTTTTTAGTCTAACTTCATGTTTTAATGTTATTCCCCAAAACAGAAGAAAAAGCTTCTTGAAGAACTTGGAGAGAGTAGACTGCCATATATGACACCAGCCGATGCTGACTTCCATCAGTTGGTAACGTATTACTTTTTAACTGTACTTGTTTTGAACTGAATTGTCTGTTTGCACAGAACAACAAATACAGCTTTCTTCTAGGAGACACCGTGAACACTGATATGAAAAAAGTACCAACTCTTACAGTTCTTGCTTATGGCTGGTAAAGATAACATACTTTCAGATGAAATAAGACCTGTAGCATCAGGATATTCAGGAATTAAAACTTTGTGAACTTAATTTATTTTTAGGAAATTGGCCTGACCAGCTTTCAAAGTCAGTCTTTAGTTTGCTTCCATGCTGGAAGCTATAGCAATATGTATTGGAAGATACTGAAATGAAAATCTGCATTACAGGAATACATGTCTTATTTTCTATTTTCCTGAAATGTAACTCATGCAACAGTGAATCACTGTTTCTTATGTTTTGTTAAAATGAAGTACACATCACCATTCTTTTAATGTTTCTGTGACTTGTAAAGAGAATGTATTTATGGTTAGATGATGGCAAAATAAGAAAAAATATGTACATAGAAATTATTTTTTTACATAGTTCTACTTTTATACAATAATTAACCCTTGAGGTTTTGCAGAAAAAATGAACTGTGAAACTGGAATGCATGCCTCAAATGAAACCAAAAACAAGGGAAAATAAGCCTAGTAGCCCCATGAGAAGTAAGCCAAATGAGTGCATTGACGAGCACCATGAAATGAGTCAAAGAATATTCTGTATCTGTGTTGGATCTTCTCAGGTCAGCTAGAAACCATATGGCAAGGACTGCGAGTTCAATCAGATCAAATGGGAGCACAGAAAGATAAAAAGCCTAAGAAAGAAACTGTTAGTTTGAACAGATACAGCAAATGTGTTTACATGACAGATGTGTCACCTGTCTTGTATTGACATATGGCCCAAAGATGTGTATGGTAGCATAAAAATGGGTCTGACTTTTCCCTTGCAAGGATGCATTTCTCTTTTTGCAGGATGCCAAGGCCAAGAAATGCTTAGCGTATCTCACACTACAGAAACAGGAAGATGTGATTTATTTTTTTTTGGTTGGGCACTGGATTGCAACTAAGAAGCATAAAATCAGACTGTGGTGTTGTCACAGGATTACACCTGTGATATTGAGCAATCTGTATACTTCCCTTGCCTTTCCACTTTACTTGGGTTGTGAGGTGGTTAGTGAAAGCATGGTTCTCTGTATTCCTGCAGTGCTGACCCAAGTGGCAGTAAGCTCTTGATTGGGATCCTTACCAGCTGTCAGAATGATGAGAACACATTACCTGCTGTTAACCAGAAAAGCACTTCTGTGAGAGAGGGCAAGCAAAACTGTACAAGAGCTTAATGGAATAACGGAATTATACTTTTTTGTTCTTTTTTTTAAAAAAGACATTCTTTTCAATCCTAAAACGATGTTCCCTTTCTGCTTTAAGCACTCAAGCAGATTATTGTTCTCTCCTTCATAGTCCTGTACTATATGCCCTTCTGTTTATTTTTTATCTGCTTTTGTCAAGAGATGCTACGCCCAGCATCTTTTACTTTTTTCCACCTTTTACATCTCTGTTCTTGTGGAGCTGACAGGAAAAGAGAAGACAGAGCTGAGGCTGCTCAAGTGGCATCTCATTTGCTTGGCATCAGGAATATATAAATACAGAACACAATCGGAAGAAGATAAGCAGAGAAATTGGACATGTTCAAGCCTTAATAGAGTTTAGATTCATTGTGTTTGCATTATGTAGACTTATACTTTCTGTGTAGTGTTTGTGTGTATGCTAGATACTTTAAGTATATGTGATAAACATCACAACTTCTGCATTCTTATGGTAATTGTGAAATATTATTTTAATCACCGCTATAGATATCACAATTTCTGTGATGCTTAAATGTACTACACGGTGGTAGGATGAAGTTCATTTTTATAGTCAGTCCTTCCAGGAGAGAACTTCAAGAGCCTGCCCTTAAAGCAGTATGCTTTGAGTGTGTTGGAACAGTTATGTGGGATGTAAATCAAAACTACTTGGAACTAAGAGGCATGGAAATGTACAATCTGGACAAAACTAAGTTCTGTCACAAGCAAATCTTCACTGACATCCTCTTTCAGTGCATGTCTTGCCTGATGAAGGATTTTAGTAATGGCCCCCACACTACCAGCTGAAACAATGTAATGTTTAAAGCTGCGTATGAGCAAGAAAGCCTGTTTAAAAAAAAAAAATCCAATTGCAAATATGTGAAGTAGATACTGTCATTTCATGATGTGTCAGTTTGCTTATCAAGGGTTCTTATTGCTGGTTTCCAGCTTTATCATCACTTGAGCTACGCAGTAGGTTGATTCTCTGCATTGAGTACCTCTGTTGCAAGTACAAGCATGGCTCTGCTTGAAATAGTGTGTGTGTAACATTCATATGGGGAATTCAGCATCAAATGTGCCTTTTTTGCCCTTAGTTGCCAGTCACATAACCACTTTGTTCAGCGAACAGTGAATTGACCTTTAATACTTGCTGTCAGAGTTACAACATACAGTACATGATTCTTCCCCCTTCCCCATCCCCCAAAAACAACGAGGTGTCCAGTGTGAACCCGGTGCTCACCCCGTGCTCTGATCTCTTAATGCTTTCCTTATGTTAGATGTAGCACAATGACTGGTTGGAGACTTAAAGAAGTCCAAAGTGTTTTCATGTAATGTGTCGGAAATGTGTTTCCACTCCCTGACTTCTGAGATATCAGCGTGGTGTTTATTTAAGGTAGAATCTTCAGTACAACGTGTAAAACTTAATGATAATGTAGTTCTGAAGCGTGTAATCTTCAAACAGAACCTAAAGGTAACAGGCCTCTGACCTGACCGGCTGGCAGTAAAATGTGGAAGGCATTACCTCTGCACTTCGGGAGGGAAATGCAATGTTGCTACCTTTATCAAATCTGTGTGCTTCCTTTCTAGTACATGTTTTCAGGCATTTAGTTGCTTTACATCATAGTGTTATTTCCCTCCTTCTGTTTGTAATAATTGTTTGGAATTTCACATGTGATTCATGTCAGAAACTCAGTGTATTTAATAATGTAAAAATGTGTAGTAACAATGACTTCTTAAATATGCCATAACAACCAGCTACCACATTACATATGCTAATCTGACCTGAGCACATCCTACGTACAGAATTATTTAAAGAACTACTGGGATACTCCTATAGAAGTGCCAGTGCTCTTTTAATACACATTTGCATAATGAAACAACTCGTGCAGCAATAATCTTTGTACATCACAGCATATAATGTTGTTCAGTGTGATTGTGAAGTATGTATGGTCTCTGTCAACCTCTACCCCCACATCTGACTGTAGCTTGTAGCTGTAAATACTTCAGACTTGCCATTACTACTTTCAGTGGTTATTCTGTATGGATATTTTTCACTGTGTTGTTCAAAGGCTGCAAAAACAAAGCACTGATTGAAACAAATGAGACAGTTCGTGACCTCTGAAGGAATTGTTTCAGGCTTTTGGCAATTCTTTCTCCAGTTGATGCTCAGTTCTTTTAATGAAAGCTGGGATCCAGTATTTTGTGCTCTGGATTGTAAAGGGACCTTCAGAGTAGATACCTTCAATGATTTTCAAGCTTCAGTGTTTAAAGTTAAGCATGTAAATACTGGTGTCAGAAATTATTATCTGTAGATACTTTTATATCAATTTTTTTTACCCTCTTTAGGAAGCTAGTTTTTGGAAGCCATAAAAATGCATAAAGAAAGCGAGCTTCACTTTAAGAATTCACAAGCAGTGGTAGCGGCATTTATAGATAAACTAAGATTTCTCATGTTTGATCACTATTGCTAAACTAGGCTTCCTTTTAGAGTCACAGAACCACAGTCCTATAAAACCTTCTCAAGTGTTGTTGGTTAACAACATGTTGTGATGCAAAAGTCTATTTTCATGCAGAAGGAAACGTGCTTACTGACTGCTTGATTTGTATTTTTTAAAGGCACCTTTTAAAATTATTTTCCTGAAAGGCAGGTGTAAGTCTGACTTGGAAGTGGGAGTACTAGATAAAGTGTTTTGAGTTGTACCAGCAGGACCCTGCAGATGTAAGCTAATGTGATGCTTTTGTGGTCATGGGTTTAGTGCTGTTTAAAAGCATTTTGAACATGAGCAAATCACAAAATGTCAGAGTAAAAAAGTTGCTCTTCATCTTTCTTATAAGCTCCCTTTAAGTATTGGAAGGCTGCAACTACATTAGCAAAATTTTGGGATCAGTGTTGTGCATCTGTGCGCTCTTGCCCTGTTGCCCAGTGCTTGCAGGTTTCACCTCACCTTATTTCTTTTCCCACAACACCAGCGGTATCTTCCTTTCCTCAGGGCAGTGACCGACTTTCTGACAAAAGGAAATGTGTTGTGAGCGGTTCTGAGCTTCCAATGTACTAATTGACACCTGATAATTGACACATTACAGCCTTTCCCTAACTAAGGGTATTAGTCTGTGTGTTTCTTTCATCTATTAGTGTTAATGAAATAAGCAGGAATGTAGTCTATTTAATAACTTACTCTCTAGTCTTCGTCTGGTTTGACAAATGGTCTCAGCAGTTGTTCCAGATGATTTACAGGCAGCCAATAAAAGTTATGATGATGTAATACTTTCTTAGAAAACCATATTAATAAAATTATCCAAGACTTCTTGGAGTGGGCAGCAGTATTTCGCATTCAAAGCAAGATGCTGCTGATGAGCAGCGCCAGGCTTGGCTGGGAGCTGCTGCGTGCCCAACGTGAGGAATTCTGACCTCCAGCTGATAGCAGAGATGGCGTGGTCAGAAGAGGATGGGAGGGAAGAGGATGTTACAGGTGGGGAGATGGGGGTAAAATAAGTTTGGAAACTTTTATAATTAAAAAAAAAAGGAAGCTAATTGGCATATGTTGAGGAATGTGAAAATAGGAAGGACCAGAACGTCAGGGAATATTTTGAAGATAACAGAATGCAGTGCAGCAGAATGGTGGCTTTTTTGACATGCTACATTCTATTATATTTTATTTACTTTTTATTAATTGCATCAGTTTTATTTTTTAAATCAGTCTTGTTTGTTCTCCCATTAGTTGACAAATAATCTACACTAAATCAACAGACCTATAAATACCTCCAGCATCTTGGTTACCCTTTTCAAATATTACTGCAGTATTAATCTTTTACTGTTTTGGAACTTTCTGAGGTTTGCGAATTAAGGGAAATCAGAGTTAACTATTAATGAAGTACTCTGACCAAGCCTTTTAAAACTTCTTAATCCAAACTGTTTAGGGCTGTTGATTAAACATTATAACTTACCAACTACAATAGTAATGGATCTGTAGTATTCTAAGAATTTCTTCCTAAATTACTTTCTTGTCTGCTGGTCACAGATTACTTCTCCTACCTTTCACTTCCTTGGTCGATTTTCTGCAGTTCCTAGCTTTTGGTTTATGTTTAATTCTCTTGGCCTCATTTTTTCCCCTTTGTTTTTTAAGGTGCTTTTATCTTCTCTGTAAAATACCTTGTCACAGGTCTTCCTTCTTGATTTTGCGAGATTGAGTAGTTCAGAACTATTACAGGCATTTGGTTTGTAAGATTTTAGCCCCAGTGATTGTACATAGTACTGCTCTCAGATTTATTAAATCTGCTTGTTTAGGCTACTGAATACATGCGTCCTTTACTGCTTTGGACTTGATTCATATTGGCTGATGTTCAGTTGCTGTGATCCAGCAGTAAACACTAGCAATGTAAGGCTTAAGAGTAGAGAGATGGAAAATGCCAGACTTAAGAAGGTTCCAGTAACATAATGGAATTAAGAGCAGTGTAACCCAACCATTTGAGATTGAGACTCTTCAGCATTGCAGTGATTTAAGAGATGGCAGAATGCAGTGACGATGTTGCCATCTAGCAAGGGGCTATTAAAATATTTATTGAGGAAGAAAGTAATTCATATGGTTTTATCTGATTTTATGTCCGTTTCATATGCTTTTATCCAGGATGGTGCATCAGCAAGTTATCTAATAGGTACCAGCAAAGTGGGTTTAGAGTAGGAGTGAGGCTGACCAAGTATTTCCTGAATACTTGAATAATACCTGAATAATGAAAGTATGGGAGCAGACCAGGGTGTCGGTCTTGTGCTGTAACTTCCCTCCAAGTACAAACAAATTCAACTGCAAGCAAAGAATTTTGATGGCTTTCATAATCTCTGACATCATTCCAGAATGATGTCAGCAGAAAAGCTATGGAAGTGTCATATGGCTATGAAAAGACACAAAGCTATCTATACTGCCTTATAAAGTTGATCACAAAGCTGTAGATGTCCTTTGATACATTTTTCAGTTTTAAGAGAGTGGAGTTGCTTTTAGATGACACTTTCTCAATGTTGTGTTGTGACATTAGATACTTGCCCTGGTGATACTCTGGTTATAGACTGCTGTGCAATATGTTGGAGTATGAATACCAAATAGCAAATACTGGCATCTATTTCTTTACTGTGTTTTAGACTCATGCTTGATGGTCTGTGAACTTATCCCTGTCCATTCCTGAATATATGAAATACTTTGGCTTGTGTGGAAAAATAATTTTTGTTTTTTCGTTTTCTCTTTCAGTGGAAGACCAAGTATTCCAAGCTAGTTTTCAGAAAATCTGATACAGTACCTGAAGAGCTCCATCAGATGGTACAAGAGAGCTTTTTGACCTTGCGAAAGCATGATTGTTTCTTTCAAGATCTTGTAAGGATCAAAGGAAAAGATTTTTTTACCCCAGTGTCTCGTATATTAATTGGAAACCCAGGATGCACTTACAAGTACTTGAACACAAGATTATTTACAGTTCCTTGGCCTACCGAGGGTTATGAAATAAAATATTGCAGTCCTCAAATACATGATGCTTGTAAAGCATTAATCAAACTTAATGACTACTTGCATATTGAAGCAGTCAAGGCATTACAAGGACAAAATTTGCTTGAGTTCAAAGAAACTGAAGATACCCCTGTAATAGATAGGGAGCAAAACTTTGCTACTTCTCTTAGGGAGAAAGGGTCTGTCTCACAAGATCAAAGCAGTTTTTGTGTACCAGAGGATGACTTCACAAGTCTAAATAGCAGAACATCTTATAACGTGACTTTATTAAATTATATGGATCCTCTACAAATGCTGTACTTGAAACAAGAGCCTTATTTTGGAATGGGGAACATGGCAGTGAGTTGGCACCATGACGAGAATCTGGTTGAAAGGTCAACAGTTGCTGTGTACAGTTACAGCTGTGAAGGTGAGTAATGGGAGGTAGTTTAGTATGACTTGACTAGTGAAATAAATGTCTAAAATCCCTGAAGCTCTTTTATGCTTCCTTGTGTGTACATACAAAACCACACCTGCGTGCTAGAGTAGGTTTGTCACTTGCATCTGAATACGTTGTGGTCCTTAAGATTCCCATTTTTAAGACCTATCTTTGTTTCCCCTTACACCTTTGCAAGATATACCTGTGTTTACTGCAGCTGGCTCTAGCAGTAGTTCTCTGAGTAGATTTAAAAACTGCTGTAATTGACTTCCCGATTAAGAGCCAAGAAATCAGAATCTGTCAAATATCTATTTTAGGCTAAAACAGGAACGTGTCTGCTGTCCTTTAAAAATAGTTTATTACAGTTGAGATCACTTTGTGTTATTAATCGTATACAGATGTGTTTCTGCTTTATAATGATTTTACTCCTGTCCTTTCCTTGGCAAGATCATTTTGGGTTATTCTTGTGTAAAACTACTACTATATTTACTTGGAAAGTATATACATTTTGTATCTACATGCTGTAGTGCCAATTCATGTCTTGTGAAGGACCTGCCAACACTTCTGTAGTTTAGAAGAGTGCAAATTTTCCATTAAAAAGACATGTCTGACAGGGTTTGCAGGCTCTTACTTAAAAAACAATTTAAATGCAGTATTAGGGGGGAAAAATGTGCTTGAAGAGCCATTAAATATTTTTTAAAGTACCTTTTCTATTTTAATCTTTATTTAAAAACAGAAATGAGGATTTTTTTTCCTAGCAATTCTGAACAAAGCCTTGGATGTTTTTTAATAGCTTCCAGTTTTGCAAACATAAGATTAGAATTTAGACACTTGATATGAATTTGAAAATGATCCTTTATGTATCATAGCTTACAAGTGACTTCTAGTACTTCCAAAAAATCCTTTCTTTTCTTCAAAACATGGGAAAAATTCACATTGGCTTTGGGTAGGCTTTGGCTGAAGACCATTATGTAAAAATAATAGCTTATGCTTTAATGTGCTTTCTATTGTTAGTTTTGAAATGAAGGGTTGCTTTGTTACTTAACATTCAGTGGAAATCACTGTGTGTATGTTTTCCTGGACATAAAACATCAGCTTGCTTAGCAAACTGAATGAAAAAGGATTCCCTAACCAGTAGCAGTGTCACATTCTTTTGTAAGTTTGTTTTCTCTAGCAAAGATGTTGCTGTCTTATGTCCAGTAAGTGTATTTTTCAGAAGTACTGTAGATACAGAAATTTCTAGAAACATGTAAATTAGAGAACCATAAACATGACAATAATAATAGTATTTGTGAAGATTTATGGTGGCATGCTTAAACTTTTTTACTTCAACATAAAACTTGCTTGCGGAGGAGAAAAAATAGTTGAGAGAGCTATAAATTAACAAAGAAGTTGCTATGTTTAGTCATTACTGTGTCATTTGAGTTTGTTTCTTGGAGTTCAGCTGGTTAGACAAGTAATTACACTGTTTTAAAACCACTGCAAATTTTATGCAAGACTTGAATGACAAGGGTAGAAATGTCTTTGACGTATTTACACCAAAAATTATGTAGGCATCTATGTGTAATGAGTGTGCTTTTGCCAAGAAGTACAAGACGTTTTCCAAAAAAAAAAAAAAAAGCAAAACATAAAATAAAAGTTTATTTTACCTGAAGAATTTTAAAATAATGGGAAAGCTTACAGAAGAGCTTTCCAACAATTTTCTAACAGTTATTTGTCCCTTAAAAAAAACAAAAAAAAACAAAAAAAAAAAAACAAAAACAAAAACCACACAAAGCAAAACACAAAATTACCCTAATTATTGTGACTAATTTTGCAGTGATTCTAAAAGTTTTGATCATTTTTTATTATGTTATATGAATAAATAAAATCATAAAAAAAAATCTTTGGCAGGAGCTGGCAAGATTAACAGCTCAGTATAGCTGGAGATGGTGTAAAAGACCCCTTTTTAGGAGGAAAATAATTTATGAAGTCAGATCTAAATCTGAAGGAAGCTGAGCTTCACTTGGTAGCTCTTGAGCATGGCTCAAATTGGTTCCATGAACTTTGGAGGGAGTTAGTGCCACAGCTTATTGAAGATTGCTGTTAAACCTTTGGAGAAGTGTATCTTGACTCTTGTTCCTATTTTCCATAAATAAGTTTGCTTTTTATGCCAGTATCTTTGGTATTTTGTCCACTGACTCAGTATTGATTTAGCATTGAATTCTCTCTTAAGTGTATACACGATGACAGAGTCATTATAGTATATATAATAAAAAGAGTAGAGGTGGTTGGAAATTTTTTGATGGAGCAGGTCTTCCTCAGAAAATGTTGATTAGATGGATTTTTAATTTTTTGGGATAAAATATGGATTCTGTAGGGAACTTCTACATCAGGCATGTAGATTTTGTTACAGCTGGCTTGATTCTCTTTTTAGCTAAGTTGTGCACATTTTGTCAGCCTGCTTTTCCCCTGGTTCTCTGTGGTCACTCAAGACCACCCTGAGTGAGTGGCATCTCCTTGTCTGGGGTATATGGGGCTTGCAAAGCTTCATGGCAGTGCTCACCTCTCCTGCCATGGAGGCAGAATCCCCAGCTCTTCACATCTGGAACAGCAGGAGCCCTGGGAGTCGAACATTCGTACTACACCTAGGTAGCTGTGTGATGGTTTAGAGATGCACAACTCAGTTTATATGCTTTTTTTTTTTTTACTTCAGTTTGCAGTTTTGTGTCATTTGTTATGTACTTACTTCATTAAATGGCATTAAAGCAGTTACGACTAATTGAAACAACTTCATTTGCTTGTTCATTTGTTCACTGTTTGATGCCGTTAGTGAAAGTTTAATGTTTGAAACTTTGATCAGTATTAATTGAAGTAGAAACTGTTTTTAATATGCCAGAGAAGAAATTTGAGAGCCAACAAAAAGATACTGGAACAAGCTGATATTCTAATTACTATCACTGTTTATTTTCATGTTTCAAGTGTCAAGCTGTTTCATAGCAACTTGAAATGAAATGCATTTAGAACAGCAAGATGGGATAGACATTTTGCTCAGTGCTCATCTGAATAGTAATGATTTTTTACTTAGAGTAAAATACATAACAGCACTAGGTTAAAAGAAGATTATCAATTGTTAAAAATAGGCTCTCATGGAAATAAAATATTCCCAATTTGTGTGTATACTGTGTGAAAGTGCCTGAGTGGTAGTCGTGGTGCATAAGGCATACCTGATTACAATCTAGAATGTGTTCAATTACGCTGTCACTACCATTATTTGCAATTAATTTAATAATACATATTACCTAAAATGAATATGCGAGTAGAATGATAGAATTATTGAGTCTGTAATTTGTAGATTTTGGTCAGTTTGAATTTATTTTTTGAGTGAATCACATTTTTATTATCAAATTACTCATATAAGAGTAGATTTGATCTCCCCTCCATTTACTGAGAATATATAATTCGTATTACCTGTTGATTTCATGACGTTTTTGACTACCACTATCATCAAATCACCTCTCCTTCAGCAAAGATGACAGAATATTCTTTGTTCTTGTTTTAGTGCTTTGAGTCTTGATATATTTGGACATAGTATTCTAGATGGAAATAGGTAAGAGCAATGTCAGCAAATATTTCCTTTTTTGTTTCTGTGAATGTTAATTGCAAGTGAGAGTTAAAATGTTAGTACAGTCTGATCCCTTGTGCTATGGCTTTTCAGTAATAAGGCAGATGGAATTACTCTGGATAAAAACTCATTCTTTCCCGCCAGCTACTGAAAAGCAAAGGATGGTCTGCTTTTTTCACTTACCTTGTATTTAACAGGTAGAAATTGTCATGGAAGACTGTACAAATTCCAGTGTAGAAAATTCCCAAATGCTTTTACATTCTGGAAGAATTTAAATCAATCTGTAAAGTGTTGAAGTTAATAACAAAGCTGGATGTTTACAGTCCTTGTTTGCAGCAATACATTGGCACTGATTCCATCCTGTAAGAAATGATGTCTGATTTAAAATTACATTTAGGATATAGCTTGGCAGTACAGTTTCAGTTGAAAAGAGACCATTTAGGTTTCAGAGTGCCAAAAACCTCTAGGTTTTTGTGCCAAATAGCAAAGAAGCTTTTCGAGGCTACTTCTACTTTCTTTGCTGTGCAACAATAGCCAAATTAGATCCAGGAAAAAAAAGAAAGTTTCATGTTGTTCTGTACCTAACCATGATGTGAACCTGATAAGATCAGGTCTGAGAGCTGCAGCATCTCTGCAATATGAGCTGTCTAGTTAAGGCATGGCATTGTGGCCAATTCTCTACAGCTACGTCCTCCTTCATGGCTCTATCCTTAATTACAGGTTTGAGCTATTACATTATGGCAAGCTTGTTACCTAGTTATGCTATTCCATTTGGGATGCAGGCACAAGGGTTTCTTGCAGGCCAAATTCTATAACTTTACTGAACAGAGTTCAAATTTGCAGATAGTTTTATCGTATTCCCATTAAGTGCTGCTACATTGGACCATTTCTATATAGTCTGCTCCAAAATAAATACATGTTCTTAAGGTGCTGTGTGTAAAGTCTACATGATTTACTCTCAAGCGCCTAAGGTTTAGATGCTCTGAAATGTTCTCACTTAAATGTGAGCTGTTGTTATCTTAACACATACAACATCCAGTCATACTTGGTGTGACATACAGAATTTTAGAATACCTTCTTGTTGGGTAAATTTTGTCAGTGCCATCCAGAGATATACCACAAATGCTAAGGTGTTTTTCCTCCCTCTTGCTTCTGGAAGAGCTTGTTTTTAAAAGCTAGTGTCAGCTTGCTTCCATTTGTTACCAAAATAACATGGTAGGAGCAATCAGTTCCAATTGCTGCTGATAATTATAAGGTGCCATAATTGAGAATATAGAGAAAAGGAGTCTGAGCTACATTTGAACTCTGTACTTGAGCAATAAAAAATTTATCAAACTGCAAAAAATAAGTCATTTTAACGAGCACATTCCAAAGGTGCTGGATTTATGAGGAGACCCCAGGAAACTTTGATTGAAATTGCTGTCTCTGATTGTAGTTCTATATTTTATTGGTGCCATATTGTGAACAGTGCTGCTGCCAAAGTGAATGGGAAAGCAGCATAACAGAGAGAGTTAACCCAGAAAGGTTACCTCTTTTTATAATATCCATGATATATTGCATTAAAAATGCCTTGAAAGCCATCCTATTTGCAGTTTTCAGAAAGCATTTTTTCTTAAATTAAGTTACGATTTATCTGAGCGGGGCAGAAAATATGAAAGGCCCTCGAAGACTTTAGTATTGATTTTTTGGAGTGTTTGCTCGCTCTTGTTTTCTCATTTGTGTGTTCCTTGACAGAAAGGCCTAGAGCTGCTCCTCAGCCAGAGCTTCAGCGGGATGAGAGCAGCAGCAGCAGGGGGATCCAGGCGATGAATGTACAGTAGGACCTTTAGCTAAGGACTGTAGATTAGCTTTTTAAACTAGAGCAGATTGGCTATCTGCTTCCTGATTGCAGGCGATACTTAATCAACATAGGAAGTTAAGACACTTCATTCATTATTAAAGGCTGTCCCCAACAAACGTTGCAGTGACCACGTGAGATGAATGACTTGAATATTTTGGAGTTGAGTTCAAGGTCAATTTTATGTGCGTGTATTATTACTGGAGGAATACGCATCTTTATTTTGGTGTTTTGTTCTAGATTAAGCAAAAACAAAAATTATTACATAAAAGCACGTTGGGAATGGACAACATGGGGACAGACTATTCCTAATGTATATGCAATTATTATGCATGCTGCTTTGGGACACAGACTATTACTAACATACACGCAATTACTATGCGTGCTACTTTGTTGATGATTTCTAACAGTTGACTGCTGTTCTGTGCCAATTGCTTATTAAAACTTCATCCTTTCTCTGTCAAAATGCTCTGTTACATGAGCCATAAAACTGTTATGCCATAGCTCCCAAATACCTTGTTATAAATGCTGACTGTATCTTTCAATTTATACTGCGGTGAAGTAAGCTTATGAAAATAGTTCAGAGGGATTAAGCTCTAAATACTATTTTTATGCAGTGGATTACTTTTTCCCCAAGCTCTACACATTCGTGTTGCTTAATGATAAGGAAAGTGTTGTGACAAATGCATTGAAGCTTCATTGGCTCTCCCACATGTTATCTATCATGTTTGACTAATAATTTTGAGAGAGGAATGATAGATATGATTCCCAGATTCTCTCCTGTAGCTGCTTGCCTAGATAGGGTTTTGTGCACATTTTTCACCTTACTTTGCCTCAGTTTGATTCAGTGAAATTGCAATTGTTAACAAATTCAATTGTTTAAGATGTTTTTGCAGTTTGACTTGAAATTATTTTTAGAAGTTATCTATTTTTACATCAGTGTTCTGGCTTTTTATTTTTTTTCCTTGCTTGCACTTCTCGTAATGTTGTAGAAGTGGGCACAAACTACAGCTCTCATTATGGGTACTTGAGAATGTCAGAAAAACTTGGTGTGTTACCAACTTTGATTTACCTTTACTTTGTAGTTAATATGAGTTTTCATCTTAGTAATTGCAAGAAATTCTTGATCTCGTATGGCATTTTTATATCTATGGTGTACTTTTGACTTTGGAGTTGTTGATTATGCAAGGTGGGGGTATTAGAGAAAAGTTAAGACTGTACCAATATGGGATATAATTAAGTTTGTGTTGTTAGAAGACCAGATAGTGTATTTTATGGTACTCATCTTATTTCTTCATGGTGTTTTCCCTTTTATCTTTATAGGTTCACCTGCTGAAGAAACTTATGATCAGAAACTGCAGGGAAGAGACCCAGCTGTTTGGCACGTAGGCTTGAAGGTAGCATGGGACATAGAGACACCTGGATTAGCAATACCACTTCACCAAGGAGACTTCTACTTAATGCTTGGTAATTTTCAAGGGGCTAGGAAATTGAATGTTCTGTTGAAAACACAGAAACTGATACCTGAATGTAAACTTTCACACTTCTAGTTAAGACTCTCCTGTTTTAGCAAGACAGAGGATCTGGCTTGAGAACATAGTAAATTCTTCCTACCCTGCCCAATTCCATTGTAATTTGTGGATTTTTTTTCTTACAATATTTATTTTGCTTCAGAGAGGAAAAAAAAAATCTGTTGAACGAGCAATTCCAACTGTACAGGCCAGACTGCAGAACATAAGTAGAGTTTTCTCAAATCTTGTGAGAAATGGAGCTCTCTCCGATCCTTTTATTTGTAGATGACGATTCCTTTATTAATGCAGTCTTACTAAGTTACTGTGAACTTCTATATCTGTATTGAACAAATTGGAATTATGTTGAAAAAAAAACAACTTCCTGTTTTGAATTGGATTATGGATTGGCTACATATGATGTAAACTATGACTATAGCAGCCTCTAAATTGTTTGGCTCCATGATTCTTGAGGTGGCCGTTACACTAATCTGTGGATGTTTTATTGGTCACCAGTTTTAGACAAGAAGACACAACACTTCTCTCATTCCTCTACACTTCTCAATGTCCATATTCAAACATACCGTTTCCCGGTAGTGGGATTATACAAAGATTGTAATGAACAAAACCGTCATACTCTAAGAGTAAGTCTGTCTCATGTGCAGTGGATTAAAAAAAATAATAATAATAAAAAAAATTAAACAGAGCTCGTTTACTTGAAGCTGAGCTCACACACAGGTTTTCAATCCAAAATGTTGAGGCAAGGATTGTGCATAAGGCTTGTTGACACAAACTTTTTTTCTTTTGGCTTGTGTTTTTCTGACCTATTTGTGTTTTAGCAAATCTAACTATAAATCGCACAATCTAAAAATAAAAACAACCTTTCTGGCATTGTTATGTTTGCCTGTCAAGCCAAATCACTAGACACCTCTGAAGGGTGAGAATACTTTCAGTGTTGCCTGTTGTGCCTTAGAAGGTAGATACTACAACACTTCCTTAGGTTGACCTGTCCCACTGCCAGCTTACTGGGCTGAACAGTCTTTCGCCTACCTTCTGGCCTCCCAGTAAATATGAACACGTTTTATTTAATATATGCAATATGTTTGAGCAATTAAAAAAGTGTGTGTAGGTAGCCTGCCTGTGCTCTTAAGTATGTTCAGACTCGAACAAAGTGTGTTAGATATGAGATCGTATGGCATGGTTGTGTACATGGGCCTCCCTTTTTTTGTATGTGGTATTATATAGGGTAGCAGCCTGAAGGGGAGACAGACATTTCTTAGATAGAAGTGAAGCCGAGGTGGCAACTAAACATTCCTAGAAAGGCAATTATTAATCCATTTCTGTGTAATACTGGTTGAAGGATCAAGTATGGCTTTCATCTCATCCTTACTGACTGGAAAGTTTGTGCATAATCAGCTTTGCTGGGCAGCAGATTCAGAAGGCAAGTAATAAAACAAGGGGACTGACCACTATTTTTATTGCAAAATACTGTAAATTATAGTAGTTACCAAATCATAAGGACGTTTCTTATTCTCCAGTGAAATTTATATACTGTAACTAAAGTATTGGGAATGCTATATGAAGGGAGGGTCAAAAAGTAAGTTTATTTAACAGAAAACATCATGGTCATGTTTAGATGGAAACAAGGATATATTAAACATTCTTTTGAAGATGATGTGTAAATCACTTCCTTATTAATACTTCGTGGAGAGCTATAGTTTGAACTCTGTAGACCAGGTGTTTGATAATCTCTTGCATTTCCATAACCTTTATTTTTTCTCAATTATTAAAAAAAAAAAAGTGTTTTTAATTGGCAGCAGTCTGAGACTATTCTAAAACTAGCAGCAGTGTACATTGGAACTGTCTTTATCATTTTCTATTAGTGGAAACGAAGGACAATTATAGATGGACATGTACAGTTGTAGCGTATTTTTTACAGTTCAAGTTTTGTAAACTGACTTTAATGGGAGATGTTTTTAGGATGCCCTCTAACAAATAAAATATAAGAACTTTTTATAAGATGTAACTTGACAGTACGGAACATAATTCTAGATTAATTTAGTTTGTCCTTTTAAACATTCATGTAATCTAGAATCTCATTTCAGTAAGCCTAATCGTTTTGCTAGCATTACATTAAAAGCAGTGGACACAGTATGCCAAGTATCTAGAAAATGCAACATTAGAACAATTGTATTGCACAACTGACTATTAGCTGGTAGTAGCTGTTGATGTAGGTGGGATGCTTGGTAGGACTCTTTCTCTATCTTCTGACTCATCCAGCTGGAGCAACTAACATGCAAACACTGCAATTTTCAATTTTCAAATTTTTCAGTTTCAGAAATGGTATAGTGCTTACTGTTTTATGTAAATATTGTGAAATACCGAAGCGGCAAATTTGGTATGCTGTTTGTAATTAAAGTCCACTCCTAATAATTCCTGTAAATAATAAATATACAAATCAAATGTATGAAAACTTGGTAACTTGTTATTTCTTTGAGAAGTGCATGAGCACATAAACTTGTAAATCCTGATCTGAGTATAGCAAAGTACCAAAAAAGAAATTTAAATTTGTTTTTAGTATTTCTGTTAGATATTTAGTACTGCTCATGTTCCTTTTTTCATTGACTCTGTAAAATGTTTTTGTTTGTATAGGTGGAATTCTAGTAAAATGCAGTCTTTTTAAGATTTACACCTTCATTCTCAGCACTCCTCTACAGATAAAATAAGCCGTAATTTGTTTGTATGTTGGTACTAAACATGATGTGATCAAATCATCCATTTCAAGATGAGTTATTACAATAACACTAATGGATTTTGTTTCAACTAAATGAAACAAAATATGTAATTATTCAGTAAAATTGACTTTTTCGAGGCTTGCTTTTCCTAACTTGAAGAAGAAAGATTTGTTGGAAGACTGTAGATCTGCTGCCTAAAAACCTCAAATCTGAACTTTATATCACTCATGAAACGGAAACACTTTAGCCCAATTTAGAATAATATATTGGTCTGCAGAGGAAGTGCATACTGAACCCTGCTGTCTCAAGTACACAGTCAAGGGGTGTCTAATATGAAACGTGTTGGGTGCATGCAATAAATCCAAAACGCGTGGAGGTGAGCAAAGGGCCCCATCTGCTCTGCCCTAGAGCATGCTTAACTAGGGTTGTCATGGTCTTACTATTAAATTGGAATCTTTCCCCTAATCTTTGAGTTAGACATGACCAGATTTGCAAGCAGATTTACAATTTTCACTAATTTTCCTACCATGACTTCAAAACATGCTCAACAAAAATACACTCTGGACTTTTTCAAAGGAAGATGATTTACTTTTCTGCAGCTGTTTCCCATAGATCAAGCTCTTGCTTGAAGGTTAGGGTTTTAAAACAGCATGAAGATGAACTTGGAATCTTATACCCTTCTCCCCCCCCCAGCAAATTATAGTTGAAGAAGCATCAAAAAATTATTTTCATAACCATCCAGAAGTTGGGTGCACACATTGCAGAGGTTGGCTTGTGGTTAAAGATAAGTATTTAATGGAAACACTTCCACATGTATATAGTGGCTCATTAAACTATTTCTAGATATTTAATCTGCTTCTATTTCCACAAACTAACTTTTGAACCCTTTTTGCTCTCTAGCATCTTGAATGTGTTGTAGTTTTTTAACCCCATGTTTTTCTTGACTCCACATTTAATCCAAATGCTATATTCCTTGATTAATAAGACTTCGAACCCCAGAAACTTACTTGTTGTTACCAAACTTTGATCACAAAGTTGGGCAAATTTCAGACATCTTTATTTACTTGGGTCTTTTAATTCACGTGGTGTTTTGTTTGTGCACACTTTTCTTGTTTAAAAACTAAAAATATTTTTTTAATCAGGGCCAGATCATCTCTCTAGCTTTCTGATATGAAAGCTGTACAAGACACACTCCATTGACCTGTAATTTCTTGGGGAAGGAGACATAACCTTCCTCGTGCTTTCAGCTGCCATTCTCACTGTAAAATTAGTTTGACTTGATTTTCTGTTGTTGAAGCATTACTCGGAGATGGGTGAAAGAAGAGCTGGTTTCTATCACCTCCTGTCAATCTCTATAACCATCGCATTATGTTGGAGTGTACCACATGATTTGTGAAGCATATGCAGTCCTGCATGTATTAAAACCATTTAAATAATTAATGTTCCTTGTAAAATGGTCAGATAAGTTTGATAAAATGGCACACATGTAACCTTCCCCTCCTGGTAGTTACTGCTATTCTTAAGCATTTTAGCATAGACGTGCAAGCCCTCAGCCAACCTTCAGCGATGTTGTATGTAGGTAGGCATAAAAGCAATTGTACAGAATTGGAAATAAAAGAAAAATATTGTAGTGCTTTTGGAAATCAGACTGTAGTATCGTTTAAAGTCTGTTTATGGTCATTAAAATAAATTGCACAAGCTCTTTTTACTTTTAGGTATTTGGTACGTAGAATATCAAAGCTTTTGCCAGTGCTGTAAGCCCCACTGTACATTTTACCTGCTTCAATACAAGCTAACTGTCTAAATATAAAGTTCAGGAAGAACACTTCTAAGAAGATAGAAAAGACAACATAACCCCATGTTGCTAGTCCTGGAGCATTTTTGGAAATTGTGGTTTGTCTTCCTGGGAAGTACTTCACCTGGAAGTAACCACAATTGTAGCCTTTAGTCCATTCTTGCTTCAGTAAGGATTAGGGAAGGATTAACTTCCTTTCTTTCTACCTTGCATTTGTTACATCTTAACACAGTGATGGGGTCTATAGTCATTGTTTCTTGGACTACATTGGCTCATCACCACACTGATGCTCTTCCAGTTCAGTAGAATTAGTTGAGTACGCATTCATCTGTGCTATGTCCATAGATACAGAGAATTTATGTCCATACATAATGCATATATCCAGTAATCAGCTCTTTTGACAGAGGTTCTACAAGCAGAGGGCTCTGTTCATATTGCCTGGAGATTACTGAACTACGATTCTGATTTGGAAAAGGAACCCACCACGTCTATCACGAGGCAGCAGAAGAAAAATTGAAACATTGTGGTATTTGACTGGATCATCATGCTAGATGATAGTGTACTGGTGTAGCGTGTGCCTGTATGCAACAGGAGATAAATAGCAACTTCTTAACCTGAAAAATCATAGTGAAAACACTGTCTTACAAACTTGAAACCTAGAAAGCCTTAAAAAAAAAGCCTAGAAAACCTAAAAAACCCTGTCTGAGGGAAACTTTGGCTGAGCAGAAAGCATACCATGAGATGTGGATGGGGCAGGGGCTGAGAAGAGCATGGTCAGGAGGACTGGCAGTAGCTTCAAGCAGTGGAGGGGACCATGCTGAGCTTCTGGCGTAGCGAGGGGTGTCTTTGTGAAAAGAACAGGAGGGCAGAAGGCAGTACAGGGGAAGGACAAAGATCTATGGCATGAGCTTGCCCCCACAATCTAAAATGGGACCTGCAGCGCCCAAATTCCAAAATGTGTCTGCTGTTTCTAAACAGAAAATCACCAGGCATCTTGTCTGATAGGGGGACCCACTCAAAGAAACATAGTCTGCATCTGATGAAAGAGGGATGGTCGGGTGTTAAAACATCACTGTTACTTTCAGGAGCCTTCAGCCTACTTCTCACATAGAATTTCTGTGCAAACTTTAGCAAGTCCTTTATCCTCACCTGCCCTTTAGTTTTTTCTGTGCCAGTTACCAACTTCATAGAAGTCTTGCACGGGTAAATATATTCAAACCCCAAGTATTTTAGATAATATTTTTTTCTGCAGATGCAAAGAATAAGGATTTGTAATAAATAAAAATTCAGTTTTCTTTGTTTTGCACAAGGTGTGTTACCTGAAATTTCTGTCGCTGGTGATTCTGTGAAAAGGAATTGTGTGCATTTGCAAGTAATCAGATCATCTGCTGAACAGTCTTACGGCTTCTTAGTACTTCATCTGTAAAGGCAAAATCCTTTTGCTTATGACCTCCAAATTATTTAACCAGACTTCAGGTGGATAACTTTGTTTTTTTAAGGTAGCTTTGGCCACCTGTGCACAATCATATGTGTGATTAATTTCTTTTAATAAATCTTGCCCAGACTGGGCTCAGCTAGTAGTCCTCTAATGGGATCTGGCCCTAGAGTGGCAGATGATTCATTGGGAAGTGGCAGGCAGAAAGTACTACAAAAAAAGAAAAAAATCCATTTAAAAGAAATACAAGTTTTGCCTTATACATGTATGGAAGTCATCTCTCTGTTTCTTAAATACTCCAACTCAGACAGAAAACTGAAGTTATTTTTTCTGGCATTTGAACGCCAAGTTTGTTACCAAGTTCTGTTCCCTTGAATGCGAACAAGGCCTTTAGAATATAATCAGCAGGTTGGGGAAAGTGAAATAGACGTTATACTGGCTGAAGTGCAAGTACTGACCCATGTTAGCCTAGTGACTAGTGGCACCATGGCATCCTGTTGGTGCAGGTAATAGCAATGGGTGCATTGCCTCTGCTTTGATTTAGAAAATTCTCTTTGGTCATCACAGCACTTGAGCATGTTAGAATGATTGTCTTCTACAATTACTATTTTAAAGTTGGGTAATTCGTGATGTTTTAAAATTTGTAAACCTCTGAAAAGCCTGTGATACACTTTAGAACAACTGTTTGTGCTAGTGACAGCATTTTCCATAGATGCGGGAAAGTTTTGGCAGGAAAGCAGTCGTTTTAGCAGAAAACTGTAGTCCAGATTTAAAAATACTGTTGTAATAGTCCTGAAAACGGTTGAAGGAGAAGATTGTGTTGATAGATCTTGAAACTCTACCAAATACATTGTTGGTGTTGATTGTGATTTCAAATTCAAAAGTCACTTCTTGTGTGCTACATACAGTTCATAGAAGTTCTGTTTTTCTGACAAGTATTGAAATGAGATCTCCATGTCACAGTCCACCTGAATTTGTAGCAGGTAAGAGCCCAGTGTTTTAAGGCAGAACAATGCCATGCTGGCTCTTATTCAGGACCACAAATTCAGGAGAACTGTATGACAAATAATTTGCCTGCGTGAAGTTTTTCAGAGCAGGACCTAAATGTATGGAACTGGCGAGGCTGCATTTTGTTTTTTCTGAGCCTCACCAATCAGCACCTCATCATGTAAAACTCATGTTAGCTCTGTGTGCTGTATTTTACTTAAAACTGTGAGGGAGTTGTGCTACTTCTGACATGGGTGTCCAAGGAAACAGTTTTGGTTTGGCTCTCAAATCTGAATAAAAGTTTTTGCAATGGCCAATATAACAAGAAGTGCTTTTTCTACTCAATTCATATATTTAAAAAAAAAAAAAAAGGCACATCTTTACTGTAATTGGTTAAGATCTAGGACATTTATTTTTTCAAATATCCTTTGAGACGCACAGGCTGTGAAACTTCAACTATTTTTGTGCAATTAGTCTTAGATGAATTATAAGCTTTTAAATTAAAATAGCAGGCTTGTTTTTAAAAGTCATAATCGATTAGGGACAACTGGAAGCAATTTTTTTTGGGGGGGGGGCTCTACAATGAAAGATTTGCCAAGGGTTTGAATGAAGGCACAAATCAAAACATAACGTTTTTGATGCTATTTGATACATAAAACACACCAAAATGAATGGGCACTGAATGAAGTGGTGGAAGTGTTTAAGTTAATTTTATGTCATAGTTCTTCTTGAAAGTGATAGCGATATTTAAATGTTGCCCTGTCTGGAGATAATACTGTTCTGTGGCCCTTGCAAAATTTGGCTCTATGTAATTTCGGTCTTAAATGCCTACGTAAGAAATTGCTCTTTCCTATTTGGCTTTTGGTGGGTTTTTGCTTGTTTTGGAGCCCTTTTCAAGCTTTTCAATTTCACATATCTGCAGACGTCATGTGAAAAGAAAATACGCCTCCCATCTAAATGTTCTTAGTGGGAATTCAGTCATTGTTCGTAACGCTTGTGTGCCTGTTCTTCATATAAACTTCTTGGGTGTTTTTTTTCCAAAGTGATGTTATCTGCTGCCTTGGGTGTGCACTTTGTTAATAATTGCTTATAACATTCATAGAAAGAAGACGTTGTTCTTACAACTGGGGTGAATTGAGTCATTCTTCTGAATTCTTTAGGCTTTTATCATTTTGAATTTTCAGGCTTGTTAGAAGGTAAAGAAAAAGTTTCAGAGCATATCGGTTTTCAGTAATAAAGAGAATATCATTAAGCCTTACACACTGTTCTTTTCAGTCTGGTGGACTGTCATTATGGTCAGAAGAGCCTTTTCAAAAATGAGCAGGAATTCAGGGGTCAGGTTTCAGGTATGCAAATATTGATGTTTTAAAGAGAAGTTGTATTTGTATGATGGAAGGATGAAGCTTGTTAACTTCTCATCATGCTGTATTAAAATGGCCAAAGCTAAACTCCCTGAAAGAGTAAATACTGATGAGGGTATAGACTCCAAGTTAACTAGGATCCTGCAGCTTTCTATTCTAGTTCTTTTCTGATAATGTCTGTATTTGGCTTTGCTTGCCAACTCTTTAGGTCATCTAGTTTTCTATATGGTTTTACTTAGTTTCTGCTAACTTATGTAAGAACAACCCCGAAATTACCTTACAGCACATCTTGACATATTTTCCTGAATGTCTCGTTGAGTTTGAGAGGACAGCATAATTTTCACACTAAAATCGTTTGAATTTAAAGCGCTTTATGAACAGCATTCAGTGTAACACGGAATGTTGCTACTAGATGTAATCTCAGCTTTTCCAGAGGAATATATAATTTTTTTTGCCTTACTTAAGGTTTCCTAATTTTTCTCTAGATGATCTCAATATGACACATCAGCACTGTGTTCTGGCTGGCTTTTCACCTCGATTCAGCTCCACTCACAGAGTGGCAGATGTAAGTATAAATGCAGGTAATTCTTTAGTCATTTGTAAAGCTAATATTCTGATACTGTAAATGTAGCATCATGTTGTCTTACCCAGAACTGTGTTTGCAGTTACGCTCATGTGTCAGGCTATTTGTTTACTATTGGACTGATGTATGGTTGCTTCTACATCAGTAATTTACCTGAACTCACAGTCACACGTGTAAGATACAGTTTAGGAATATGCTCTACCACATCACATGAATTGCTGAAGTGTAGAGACAGCTGCATTTTTAATTGAAATTATTTTTTATTTTTGTTATTTTCATCTCCCAGTCCTAGATGAAAAGGCAGTATTAATGATAAGAGAAAAATACTCAAAGCACATGTGCTCACTGTGCTCACTGGCTAAAACAGCCTTTAGGAGGTCAGAAAAACTAAGATGAGTCATGAGTATGCTTTAAATGGGATCCTTCTGTGCATCCAAGGACAGAACAACTAGAAAACTGATACAGAGCTCCTTCACTGAGTCATTCTGGGATAACCAGACTTCAGCCTGACACACTCAAGTGTTAAGATGCTTTTATTTACTCGACTTCTATTCTTTATTCTTGTCCATGGCTTTAGCATTAGTTTTATGTAGTACTTGAATGGGAAAGCATATAGGAACATAAAATAGACTGTAGCATAAGAAGATACTTAAAAAAAAATATGGCTTTCTTTTTTCAGCAAGGCAAAAAGTACCACTACTGAAGCAAGAGAAATACATGTAAATCCATACTTTTTTTTTCCTGTCCTACTAGTTGGTGCAATAATGGAAATGAAGTGATAGCACCAAACATGGACACAGACATACATTGTAGTTGTAGTAAAAAAAAATAAATTAAAAAAATCCATTATTTGCCAAACAAAGCTATAGTCTGCTCACTCGAACTAGACTTTGGCATAAAGCAATATTACACTGTGCATTTTAAAAACCAGTGGTTCTGTGTTTTACCTCTTTTACTTTAAGAGTCCTCTGACCTACTGCTCCTGTCTCTGTGTTACTCTTGCAGGAAAATACACATTTATTTTCACTGTGAAAAACTTCTCTATTAAGTGATTATGCTTTGTTTTGGTAAACTGTTGTGACCTCAACCTGTATAGTATGGAAATATTTGTTTAAAAAGCATATGAGACCGGTGAGGTCCGTATTGAAGATGATTCCCGGGAATCTAACTGAAGGTACAGATAATTAATTGAAAATAATAAGAAGATGTAGTTATTTTACTTTTTTTTTTTTTCAAATATATATATATTTATTTATTTTACGTATTTCCTTGTAATTTTTGAAAGAAACTCTGAAAACAAAACAAAAGCAACAGAAGTGCAGGTCTGGTTTGTTCATATTATCTACACCTTCTAAGCAATCAGCACTCCTGAGTGGATATGGGATTCCATTTGAGTGTTACTGGGAGCCTATAAAACTATGCGTATAAAGCTGATTATTAAATATCCTCAAAAACTGCCAGAAAGCAATGGAAAGTATGGCTGTAATTGTGAAGTAAATTTAAAAGTAATCCCATTCTTTCTCCTTTCAAATTATGGTTTACTATTTTGTGTTGATGGATTAGACTTTTGCATCATCTACACAAACAGCTACATAAACCAGAAGACATTAAGATTTTGTGTAAAAGATCATAAAATAAAGTTACAGAAATACATCCTTTCTGCTCCTTTATTTCAGAAGCAAGTGGTGTATTTGAGAAATATGTATGCTTTGATGTGACTAAGTATTCATTTTTATTATATCTTTATAGTGTTCAAGAGGAACATTGGAATACATATTTGGACAATGTGAACTGGCGCTCCAGAATTTACAAACTGATTCTAATTCAGGGGCTTTATCTTTGAAATCACTGGAAACTGCAGTTGTAAAGCAAGTGGAAGAAATACATAATGAGGTGAGATCATTGCACCGAAAGTGCTACAGCTGGATTCTGACAGGTGCAGTCAGGTGGCATGTGTTGAGCAGCTCACAAGGCATTGCACTATATAAGTTTGTTAGCTGTTTTTTATTCCCTATTTACTTGTTTACAGTGATTGGGATAAACTTTGATCTGATCATTGCATTCCCATGAAGATTTCGTTTTTTCTTTCCCAAGATCCCTCTGCTGGGAGAGGCAGAGTAGTTTCAGTAACGTTGGTTTCATTGTGCCAAATCACAGGGTGGCGGACAAACCAAACTACTCTAGTCCTCCTGAAACGAGAGGGGCAAAATGGAAGGAAAGCACACAAAGTTTTTCAGTTGTTTGTCAGGTGTTAAGATAATTGCCAGTCTTTTTCCAGAATGCCAGGTGTGAGACAATTGCAAATATGTTCTTAAAAGCATATTCTGAAGAAAATGTAGTGCAAATAATCGTGAAGAACATACTTCATTCGGCAGATTGTTCTGCACTATAAAATATGCAGTTATAACAATGCACTTCCATAGAATTTCACTGAAGCTGGCACAGTGCTTTATGGTTTGACATAGAGATCTGGAGTTTTAGGAAACACAGATTTAAAAATGTCTGTTTTGGGCTATTGTGGAAATGGTAATTTTTTTGTGGTATAACAATAAGCAGTATCATGAAGAATGTAACTTTGCTTTTACTGTTAGTGGATAGTCAAGGAAATGATACAGTGGAATGGGTGGTCTTACAGTGGTGACATTTCCAAAAATGGTTAGTTAATTGCTTTTTTATTTTTATTTTTTATAAGAGTTAAAGAAAATGCAAGTCAAGGCTGTGTGTTAGGAGTATAAAGTGACCTTGTTTAGCTGCTCTGGAAAGTTGCCTTTCAGCTGTTCCTAACAAAAGTGATCATGACCATCTCTCTGTAAAAACAACTATAGTAAGCAGCTAATACAAATTTCTGAACCACGTTTTGCTTAAATATCAGTCACAACATTTGTATACTCACACATTTCGAAAGAACTAATCTGTACTGCTACTAAGATAAGTACAATCAGCATTATATTGGAACATCTGTAGTACCAAAGTAATTCACACTCAAATTAGAATTTTTCTAAGTGTTTTAAATTGCTATCTGCTGAGGAATATAATATTGTGTGTTGCTAGACAACTTCATAGAACACATTTTTATTTGTATTGTGCTCAAAGTTGGTAAAAATTAGTATAGTGATGGCAAAAGCTTTACCCCTTGACTTCCAGCAAAACAAGCTCCTAGAGCAATTTAAAGAAGTCGGATGCATGCAGGGTTTTACAAAACATTAATCAGGCTCAGTCCATAAAACTATACACATATGTGGTTTGCACAGCTAGGGCCACATGCACAGCTGGTGTAAATTTGCACGGGTCCTTCAACATCAAAGACCTGTGCCATTTACATCAGGTGAGAGACTAGCCCCTGGTGTTTGCAGTCACCTGAATAATTTTGCTATGTGACATACAGGGATGTTTCCTGTTACGCATATGGGATATACTGTAACAGAAATCATTGTTTAACTTGTACATATTGTGCACTTAGTCTTAGTAGACACATTGAATCTATATTTCATTTGAAAAGAGAATACCCAGTCACCTCTTTTTTTTCTTCACAAGGTCACCTCCTCACTTAAAAGATAAATTCCGTATGTTCAAGTGCTATTTAAATTTCCCTTTTTTAGTGCACAAGTAGACAAAGTTACCATTTGTTTACCACTGTGGAAAATACACATTTCTTTTTCAAACATCACTGAAGTAAAAACACACAGATCTGTGAGGCTGATGCAGGTTATTGTTGTTGTTATTGTTTTGCCTGTGAAAGCTTCCCGCTTTCTTTTACTCACTGTATGATAAACCTTCATATTTTCAGGCACATAATACGGGTTCTAGATTTCAAATTTTCTCAGGCATATGAAGAACAAGAACATGTTTCCTTTCTTTAAAGAATTAAACTGTTCAAGTACTGATGAAAATAAGTCTTCCATTCAGTAACTGTGGTCAGGATTCCATCTCTTTTTTTTTTTTTTCTCCTTTGTTATTATTTTAAATAAGATGAACTGTCACCCAATTTTGCCTGTGTATTTCTGTTTTGGTATACAGCTTATATACCTCTGGACCAGAGATTATGGTCTTGAAATTGAGCATTTCTATCAGAAGAGGAGGCAGTATGGTTGTATTCCACTTCCAAAAGTCATAATTGAAGCTCTTTGCATGTTTTAGCTCAGATAACTAAATGCATCCTCAGTAGCTGCTTCATCTTCCTGAAATGCTATGGGTGTTCTTCCCCTTTTGCTGACACCTCCATAGTAGCATCAGAGATCATTAACTGGAGCAGAACCATCACAGTGCCATCAGCTGATCCACAACTAGGCTAAAATTAAGTACTTGAGTGCAGATTCACAGTCTGTGCTGAAATTAACTGCTCTGCCAAAAGAGGTCTGGATGAGTTATCTGTGTCTCCTTGAGGGAAAAAGCCTAAGAGCAAGTCTGAAAGAATGAGGTATGATTCTGTGCCTTCACTTTTGTATTCCTGGGCAGGAAAATTGACTTGCTGTGTTGATTAAGTGGTTTAGAACTGAAGATCTGTAGCATTGGTAGAGACTTTCTCTACTTTTGTCGTGGGCAGAGAAATCCATAAAAGAATTTGGTGAGCATCTGGGGGCTCTCTTTTCCGATTGCTAGCTTTCCCAGAGTTCATTTGTCGGAGACCTCTCTTGGATGGCATGACAGAGGCCTTCCCGTGGAAGAAGCAAGGTTTTAGTGAGATGGTTTTCAGCATCACTTTGACTTAACCTTGTTGTTGTGGCCTCCCTCATTAAAACAGCCTTCGGAGTAATATCTGAATTCAGGTACATAATTCAGCACGTACCTGAATTATGAGATACATGCTGTTTGTTAGATGTGCAAGTCATTTCACCCCAGTACGTACTTTGTAGTTACAAGCTTGAACACTGTTTCAGTGGCAGGGTATCCTAGGAGCACTGTGGCAGGGTGAACAGAAGTAATGTCCTGGACATCTGTGAAGTACAGCGTCCTAACAACAATGCTCACATGGTGTTAGATTAAATGAAATTATCCCTTTAAGCAGTCAGATTGCTGTTTGGCCAGGACCATTCCTCCTGAAATAAATGACCTTGTATAGCTCATTGAATGCGAACCTCTGCCCCTGCTGAATCACACTTCACTTTCTAAAATTTATACAGCTCCTGGCTAGGCCTCAAGCAGACCTGCAGGGACCTGGGAAAGCCCACTGGCAAACAAACACTTTTAAAATGATAGAACACTGCTGACTAAATGATGTAAACGCTCGCATGCATAAAAATAAATCTGCAGAGAAGATGGCCTATTCTTTGGGTGTCCGAGAACAGTTGTTCACCTTGCTCAGAGGAGTGCAAGGTCTGACAGGATTTCCCCTATGTGAGGAAGCTCCGAGGCCTCCTTATTTGCCACCACCAAATGAACAGTCACAAGTTCTCTGTGAAGTAAAGCTTCAGAGCAACTTCCTTAGGGTCAGGGATTTGTGTTTAAAATGTAGCAGGCTTCAAAGTAAAGTTTGAAAAAGTAGGATTTTGTTCTTATTAGTGTTTTGGCTCAGCACTAATCAACAAATCCTGATGACCACAATTAAAATTTGAGACTGAATTGGTTGCTCTGTTGCTCGTACAGTCACTCTTGCCTACAGCAAATCTATTTCTATGGTAGCAGCAGTTAAATTTATCATGATTTAGCATTTCTCTGTCTACAGGGATGTAGAAAAGCTGAGGCTAGCTAAGTTGAAGGTGGTAGATGTGGAAGGTACGTGGTGGTGGGTGCTGAGGTCAGGGCTGAGGAAGGGTGGTGGTGTCTGCGGCCCAAGGAAGGCCGACGTGTGAAGGTACATCACAGTGAGCTGACAGCATGGTTGGTGGCTGGCTAGGACAGAAGAGCAAAAATATAGATCACCTACATCTGTGGCATTTAATAACCAATACTTTTAAATAATTGACCGAGGAGCACTGCATCACAAAATGTCAAATGCTGCTGTTGGCCTTTTACTACCCGGTATTGACTATAACCTAAAATTGGCTTTTAATCATTGCTAAAGGACAACTTGAAAAAAAATAATCTGTTGAGGTTAGACATATAAGGCCTGATTCTGAACTTTCTTGCACAGATGTAAGTCACAAATGAAAAATGACTCAGGAGACAGAAGTTTTCCTAAAATGTGCAGTGTGTGTATTTTATTTACGTGTTAATATGTTTAGGCTTTGTCCTGTTCAGTCATGTAAACTACTTGCTGATCTGAACTAAAGTTAGCTCTAATATATGGGAGTCACCAAACTAAAACTCTTTGACAAAATCCGTGTCAGGAACAGTTGACCTGAGACTCCTGTCATGGAAGATGAATGTCATGTATCTTGAGTCCCAGTAAGGCTAGAATTGAGTTTTTCTCTCTTCCGTGTGTACTGTTGTGTTTTTTTTCCTGGTATAGCTCTAATTCGTGTAAGGAGGTGGAAGGAGGCAAACCAATAGGGGATGCCTTCTTCCTGCAGGAGAAGATTAGTGACTAGAGTTCAATGAAAGAATTTAAAAATTAATGTTAATTTAGTGTTCATGTTAATTTTGAAATATCAAACAGCATAATTGGAATATCTGGAGATTTGTGCTTACTGGTGTCTAAAGCAAGGATAGTGACAGAGAAATTGTCACCCATGCATCAAGATGACTTGTTTTCAGAATCAACCCTTACCTGGCCAGAGGTACCAGTTCAGAGCAGTCCTTTGTCAAGGCGCTTGATGGCTGAATTTGTGGATGAAATGCTATTTTTTCCCTTCTTCTATTAACTCAGTTTAGAGCTAAATTTAGGTATTGTCAGATGAATATGGACCTGATTTTGAGAGCCCTGCCTAAATTTTTACCTATATTGTTGTCGCTATCATTGAACAGCCACACGTTGCCATTTGGTACCCTGATCTCTGATGAGATCAGTTACAGTCCTTCAGAAAATTAACTGTCCTACTGCTAACCCTTATCTCTTGTGTATGCTGAAAGGGATCAAGATATGTTTAAAATTTGGTCAGGATGCCAGACTTGACTTAGACTGAAATTATGTAGATTAATGTAACAAATCAGTATGATTAGTTAGAAATCAGATTGACTGAAATAGATTGTTATCATGATGAATGATATTGTAACTTTCATTTTAATTTTTTTTTAAATAATTTTTTATTAGTTAATGACCTCATGTGATCTATTTCATGAAACGTATTTGTAAGATATTACGTGTTATCATCCTTTCATTGGAAGAGACCAGAAAATAGAAAGAAGAAAAAAGCAGCGAGTACTCCAAACTCTAGTTGAACTGTTGATGTGTGCTCAGCCATCCTAAAATGGTGCATAATAATTTTTAGCGAAGCAGAACTTGATACTTCATATCTTGTTTATACAGCAGAAGAAGAAAACTCTGCTAGGGAGGATGTATGTCACTGAACTTGTGTGCTAAGAAGCCACTATGCTTGCAGTAATTTTTTGAAAATATCTTTAAGATTTATGTCTGCCAATTAATTTTGTTGTTATATTTTACTAAGAGTTGATCTAATGTTCTTTTTATACATTTCACATTTAAGTATCTTTTACTGCAGTCGTTAATGTGTATTGACCAAACATTTAATGTTAGCTGAAACGCTTTCAGATTTCCATAGCCTTGCAGGAAAGAAAGAGTTAGATGACAGCTTTGGGCAGTTTTCTTTATTCTTTCACCTTGGCAGGTTCTCTTTGTTTCCAACATCAGTGTCAAGTAGGGATAAACAAAATCTTTGAGGTAGCAAATAATGATTAAAGTAGCTTTGAACTTGGTGTGAAACGTAACTACCGCAACAAAAATAAATACATAATTCTAAAGACCAGAACCATGGATTGCCATTAAAGAAAAAGGCTCAGCAGGAATTAGGATAAATGAAATTATTTTGCTTAATGAATATTTGATGAGTTATATATATTTATCGTATATTAAAAGCTAATATTTCTCATGTGTTTAAACCTAAAGGGCCACCCATATATGATTTGGAAAAAAAACAACACCCCAAACTAGCAAAGTATTACAATATTTTCTGCTTCATATTCTAAATGAAAGTATAACAGTGTTCCTGATTAAATTTTTATTGCTTCATTGGGATAATGTTTTCTTTGTTAAGCACAGTTGCCACACAAGCCTAGTGCTAGAAAAACAATTGGGACATGTTACTACTAACACCCTGAAAAGCCAAAACTTGCTTTTTAGCCTTACTTTTCCTGCATACATATCATTGGCAAGTTTTTGCTTTAAGTGCAGTTCCAGTAGAGGGAGCACGAGCCTGGCCACAGCTGAGCACTGAGACTCAGTTAATCCTAAAGTTTTTGGTAGTTTGTTTGGTAACTAGATTATTTGGTTAACTATGAGAAACTGTATGTCATTATAAAACTATGCACTTGTTCCATAGCAATTGGCTATGCTGTATTCTAGCACAGTTTATTTACTGAAAGTTTCTTCCATCCTTCATATAACTAAATAAAAATAACAATGGGGTGTAAAGGTACGTTTAGAAATAAATACTCCAGTAATTTTCTCCTTTGCTGGGGCTGTTTAGGTATATCTGGATTCATGTACTACCCCATTCCTGCCCAGAAAAAATAAATAAATAAATAAATAAATAAATAAATAATAATAATAATAAAAACAGATAATAAAAACAGATTATTCATGCAACCATGTGTTTTTCTCTTGCAGGTTGAATTTGAGTGGCTCAGGCAGTTTTGGTTTCAAGGCAAGCGGTATTTGAAGTGCACTGATTGGTGGCTTAAGCCAATGGCTAAATTGGAAGAATATTGGAGAAAAATGGAGACTATGGTAAGTACTGGTTTTATAGTCTGAAGCTTTTAGAGCTTAATTCTGAGAGCACTAACAGTTAGGTTTTTAACTGTTCTGTAGCAACAGAATTTTTGCTTTATTCAGAACATCTGAAAAGTAGAATCAGTATAATCCTGCGATCTCTTTGCTACTGGGGGAGAGAAATAAAAGAAATATGAGCAAAATTAGAACCAAAAACCAAGAGGAGATTTCAGTTGTATCCTGACTTCACTTGTTTTTAAAGTTTGACAATGCCAGAAGGTGACAGGCAGATATTGCATCACACATTAGTACCTGAAACTGTGCAATGCCACCTGGTCATGAAACAGCAAGATAGACAGTGCACCCTTTGCCATCACAACAGTTGTGAATGTATCTGGGTGAAGGTGAAAGTAAAACCCGATGAGCTGAAGGTACAGCTGGCTGTTAGTAGTGCACATGCACGATTACGCGATGGCTACAACTAGCTAGAGGTGATTAGTTTCTTGAATCCTTATAGTTGTGGTAATTGTTCTATATTTGAAAGTACATCTGTGCCTTCCTTGATAGTGAGAGTGACTCAGTGACCACTGTTAACCCACTTGCTGTTGCTGTCTAAGTAGAGACTCAGCTTGGGGGACTTTGCTAAGTGTATGACACACTTGCCAGCATGCCTGCTTCTAGGTCTGCATGCAGGAGAACTACATCAGAAACGTGTCGTGCTGGTATCCTTCCATCTCCATCAGAAGCTGCTTCTGTGCCATTGCTGCTCACAGTGTAAGCTTCAACTCATCCGTACATGTCTTGGAAAAGTTTGTAATGTGGCTGAGCACACTGAATATAATTTGTATTAGAGGTGTTTTTGAAATCCCAGAGGTATGATGACACAATAATCTGTTACGGAGTTTTGAGGGAAATCTTATTGCTCTCTAACCTGTTCACAAGAATTTGGAAGCTTTTCTGGCAACAGCTGGATTCAGACCTGGAAAATGAGTGAGGAAAAGTGGAATTTTTATATGTGAAATCAGTTGCTGCAAGGAATCGGTGAATGTTAGACTTTCTTCCAAAAAAAGGGAAAAAGATTTATGATTTGTTTATTTTTGTTTTTGCCTCATTTTTGTGTTCTCATGTGCTGAAACTCAACTAATCTTGAATGACCTTTATCATTTAAAAAAAATGATTTGGTTTGTTTTTCTTTCAAATGACAACTTACCCTCTTGTAACAGAGGCTTAGATGAAGTAGAGACAAGAATGTTTGATTGTTATTTTATATCCATTGTGTGTTGAGAACATGGAAAAACAGCAAACTCAGGAATTCTCAAGGGTTAGGTTTTCTGCAATTGGTGTGACATTGCCATGTGTCTCTAATTAGAAACATGGTGGCGTCAGTGTATCTCCTTTCAACAGACCTCACGATGATATTTATCAGCAAACTGACGGTCGGGCCAAGACAGAAGCTGCTTCTAATTTAAATTTTAAAAATTGCTTTAAAGTTTTATGACTTATAATGCATTAATCACAATTAATTTCAGCTATTGAAGGAGACAGAAGAGAATGTTAATTGGGAATGTCTGTATTGTTGAGTCTCTTAGGTAAATGAGCTGCTTACTGTATTTTGGACTTGGAGGTGGGGTGGGATTTTTGGGTTTCAACCTACGTTTTGTCCTTAGTTTCACAAAGGGACAGTAGGGGGCAATGTTGAGCTGCAGTTTTAATGCGAGAGCGAGCACTGACTTAATAAAAATACATAGAAATGTAGCATTAACATCAAGAATTATCCCTGTTGCTTCAAGTTAGCTGTAATCTCTAAGATTCCATAACACAGGAAATCAATTGTGGGTTAACAAATTCAACAGCAATTTAACATAAAAAGTGCAGTGTTTTGGTGCATGCTTAGCTTCCACAGCATTAAGTTAAATCAAAAAGGTATTTCTGAAGGTACCCAGTAGTCTACAGTCAGTGTTTTTCCTCCAAATTTATAACTTTAACTGCATGATTCTTTAAAAAGTAAAAATAATAAAATAAAACCTTCACCTATATAATGTGGAAAAATGGTTAAATTATAAATGCCTTAGCGGTTGTTGATCTTGTCTCAGTAGAGTATTATTGCTTAAAAGGAACTGTTTTGTAAAGGAAAATAATGTATTTTTTCCTACACTTGTGTGTGAGCTAAACAACTCTTGACTTAAATTTTATGTGTGTGTTTAGAGTGATACAAAAGTCAGTCTGGGGTTCGATGTGTGCCTTTTTTTTTTTTTTTTCCTTTGTTTAGCAATAGGGTTTTAAAGAAGAAAAAAAAAAGCGTTTTCCAAAATTTCTGCTTCTGTTAATTGTAATTGTTCCAATATCGCAGCAAAGTATGATACCTCAGAAAGTTAAGCCCAGGGTCTTCAAACCTTCGGGCTCTATTTAATATTTTTGTACTTTGTGGCAAGCACACAGTTTTATAATAATGGTTAGTCCTGGCATTTCTTTCCCTGCGGATAGTTTTACTTAGAGCTTGCTCTTGTGATGTAAATGTTAAACCTTTCATTTGAATGACATTCTGATAAAACATCACATTTCCCACAATATTACCTCATGAATTTATGAACCACTAAATCTAAAGCAGTTTAACCAATCTTCTTCTCTTTTCCCCCCCTCCCTTGGAAATACGAAGGCTATTCAAATCCTTGAGTTTTTTTTTAAAAGTCATCCAAGATTAACACGTTATCATGTGCAACATCAGGATAAATGCTTGCTGAATTCAAAGGGAGAGTTACCATTTGAAAAAAAGACTGTACAAGCTTTGCTTTCTGGGTAAAGAGAAGTCTGAAAAGCTGAAATCTCATGTGATATGAGGAAGTCTTGCTGAAGCTGTTCTGAGATTCAGTGGAGAGACAATTTGTCTCTCAGGGTCTGATATCATGCAAACCTTGCAATCTGACATTTATTTTAGCTATGAAAATGTTTTAACGCCGTACCAAATCAGTAAGAGCTGCAGAAGTCCTACAGTCTTTTTTTGTTTATTTTGTTTTAGGTTGATTCACATTTGAAAAAGTAAAATGTAAATCTCTGGAATGAAAAGTAAACATATATGATTGTACTCAAATGCCAAATCTTTAAAGATTTTTTTTTTTTTACATATTCAGTGTTCCTTTTTTTTTTTAAAAAAAAAAAAAGATGCTCCTGGTAGTGCTATATGGTATGAATTGTATTTCCTGCTTTGACAGTCCATTTAGCAATGTAGCAATGTATTTATATGGCAGTTGGCCTTAATAACCTTTATTGACTTTGGTGGGTAAGAGCCAAGACTGGGATTATTAAAATGTATCAGTTTCATTGCAGTATAAAATCACAACATATATAATTATGTTAGGTAGGCTAGGCTCCATTTAATCCTACCTATTTATGCAGGAATTTGGCAAGATGATGAAAATTGTAGTTCTAAAACGTAAAGAAAAATGAGTGATTTAGTGTATTTAGCAGCATAACCGTTTGCCTACTCTAAAGGATTTATTTAAAGGAACGAAACATAGATCTTAAAAACCTGATTTTTAATGGTATAAGTGAAACACAAAAGTGATTGTTAAACCTTTTGTTTCACTTTTTGGAATCCTAAATTATAGCTAATGATACTGATATGCAGCATACCTTTTAATTTCCAAATGCAATCTATAAACATCAGCGTGTGCTTTCTGTGTAGTTACAGTGAGCAAAGTGGCATTCAACAAACTGATGTCTCTGCACAACTGTTTCATCTTGATTTGTACATTAAAAAAAAAAAAAAAAAAACATTAACTCAACATATTATTTTTATAGTTATTCTCTATGGTACATTTTTATCAGTTTATACAACTGAATTGAAATCAGAGAGCGAAGATATTTCCACGTAAAATTATTTTTCTTTCCTTTTTGAGGTCTGTTTCATTATTTGGTTCTGTTGCTGCGTATGAAGTATGCCATAGTTTCTGCTGTAAGCCACTATTGTCAGGGGCTTAGAGCCTGACAGTTAGAATTGAGTCTGGGCTGAAACTTGAGCTACGAAATCTCAGCCCAGGGCCATAATATATTTCTTTTTTCTTTTTTCTTTCTTTTTTCTTTTTTTTTTTTCTTTTTTTTTTTTTCCAAATTAAAACAAGCGTTTAAATATGTGTTTAAATCAGGGTATTTTGGTTCCAGAATAACCACCATAAGCTGTAAGACAAAATATGCTTTTAAAAGGAATCTTGCTGGCTTTTTGTAGACTTTGGCACTTCAAACAGCTCGCTAATTCTCTGCGGGTGGAGGGCATGAAAAGGTTTGGGGTTCGCAAACAGGCTGGGTGGCTGGTAGCATTTTCAGAAAATGCAACTTAAATTTGTATTAGTGTCATCTTGGCAGCCAAAATTCAAGAAATTCTGAGGTATAATTTTAATTTCTTTTTTTAGCTTCCTCCCCGTGCTTTGGGATATTGCAGTGTCACACTCGTTCTTGGAGGGCCGTGCGGTGCTGGGTGATCGTATTTGCCTAATGAGCTGTGAAATGTCGGCACAACATGGCAGCTCAAAGACCTAAATTTTAGCCATATCTCTGGTCTTTTGGGGCTCTTCTTATCTGTTTAGGCCAGACCCTTTAAATAAATGTGTTTTTGGCAGGTTATATTTTATGTACACCAGGAGTCAGATATTCCTGGAAATGTATCTTTTATCTCAACAACGAGAGGAAAACCCTGATCCTGGGGAGTTTGTTCTTTTTTAAAAATATTTTTTGACACTGATTTCATTGACCCCAATATTTTTAGCCATCAGAAATGGGCGAAAGGATACTGCGTGGCATACAGCAGAATCACTGACAATCTTTTTTTTTTTCTTTAAAGTTGTATTGCACATCTTTCAGAAAAAAAAAATATTTACAATTCTGAGGGAATTCAGACTTAAGCTTCCAAAACAAAGTGTGTGCTGAAAGCACAAAGGACTGTGTTTATGATTCTCTTTGAAGTGTTTTTGCAACAGGATAAGGAAAATTTTAGAAACTGTCTGATAGTGTTCAGGGTAAATACT